ATTTCATTAAGGTCTGCCATAATTTCCCCCATTTCATCCCTTGTTCTGGTTATGGATGTTTGCTCTTTCCTCTCTTTGGTTAATTTTCCAATGGTCTGTCGATTCTGTTGATCCTTTCAAAGAACCAGCTTTTTACTGTTGCTTTTTTATATTCTTTTCTTATTTTCCCACTCGTTTATCTTTGCCCTGATTTTTATTATTCCTTTTCTTTTGCTATTAGTAGTATTATTCTTTTGACTCTGCTCTAATTGTTGTAGGTTTTGTGCCAGTGTATCAATCATAAGTCTCTTTTCCTTTTTCATATGTGCATTTATTGATATCAAACTTCCTCTGATAACAGCTTTTGCTGTGTCCCAAGGGTTTTGGTATATTGTATTCTCATTTCTATTGGTTTCTAAAAACTTCCTAACTTCATTTCTGATCTGAGCTAGTACCCACTCATTTTTCAGAAGAGCGATATTCATCCTCCAATTGTTTGCCCTTGTTTTCTTGTTCATTCTTTTGTTGATTTCCAGCCTATGTCTTAGTGGTCCAAGAGGGAGGTCTGAGTGACCTCTATGTGTTTGAATTTACTCAGGCTTGATCTGTGTCCCAGCATGTGGTCAAATTTCAAATATGTACCATGTGGGCTTCAGAAGAATGTGAACTTTTTTTACATTTGGATTGAGATCTCTAAAAATGTCTATCAGGTTGAGTTGCCTAATTGTAGAGTTTAGTTCTATAGTCTCTTTGTTAAGCTTCTTTCCCAGTAATCTATCTTTCTCAGAGAGTGGTGTATTAAAGTCTCCTATGATTGTTGAGCCTATGGTTTCTTTTTTCATCTTTTGAAGAGTTTACCAAATTTCACGGGTCTCTTGTTGGACGCATATATATTTATGCTCACTGGTTCTTGGTCTACTGATCCCTTGAGCATTATATAATGCCCAGCCCTATCTCTTGAGATCAATTTTGTCAGAGATTAGGATTGCAATCCCTTCTTTTTTTGAATTGCTGTTTGCTTTGCTTATTTTTCTCCAGCCTTTAATTCTCAGTCTATTTTTGTCTGCAAACTGGAGATGTGCCTCTTGTAGACAACAGATTAATGGATTATGTTTTCTAAACCAGGCTGCTAGTCTTTGTCTTTTAATGGGTGAGTTCAGGCCATTGATATTTAGAGTTATAGCATCCATCTGTGGATTCTTTTGGGTCATCATGTACCTTTTGAATTGGGTGTTTTCCTCCCTCCCTCCTTATCAGTGTGTTGTGTGTGTAGGGGGGGAGGGGGGCTCATTCTTTTCACCATTGAGCCAGTGGTATCTTGGAGGCTATTTTCAGTGTGCTGACTTCTGGGTAGAGTTACTCTTTGTGGTGGTCTCCCTCTTGTGCTCATTGAATGCTTTTCTTTTGAATACAGTGAGTCAGCAAGACTTTTTTTGTAGAGCTGGGTTTCTTTTAACATATTCTTTGAGTTTTTCCTTGTCCAAGAAGACTTACTTCTCTATCTAAATTGATAGATAGTTTGGGGCATAGAGAATTCCTGGGTTGTCATAGCTCTCTTTCAACTTTTGGAAGATGTTACTCCACTCTCTCCTCATCTTCATAGTATCTGGTCATAGGTATGAACATGTTCTTATCTGAGTACCTTTATAGGTGACTGCTTTTATTTCCCTAGGTGCTCTTATGATTTTCTCCTTTTCCTCAGAGTTGGATGACTTTATTATATGCCTTGGGAAACTCTTCCTGGGGTTCAGTGTAGTTGGTGCAATCTCTGCTTCCTGAATGGTTGTTGATTCTCATTCATTAAGTTGGAAAGGTTTCTTCCAGGAACTCCCATGCTATTTTTTGCAATTAACTTCTTTGTTGTGTCCTGTTCTGGTAGCCCAGTTATTCTAATGTTCCTCTCCATAGGATTGGACATTGTTCTCAAGTTTTCTTCAGCTTCTTTGATTATCTTGTTTGATTGTCTTTATCATTTATTGAAGACTACCTGAAGGTTGCTGGTATGGTTCTCTGCTTTTGCTAGTTCAGTGGTTCTCAACCTTCCTAGTGCCCGGGCCCTTTAACACAGTTCCTCATGTTGTGGTGACGCCCAACCATAAGATTATTTTTGTTGCTACTTTATACTGTAATTTGGTTACTGTTATGAATTGTAATGTAAATAGCTGATATGCAGGATATATTTTCATTGTTACAAATTGAACATAATTAAAGCATAGTGATTAATAACAAAAAAATATGTAATTATATATTGTGAAATATTTATGTGTTTTCCGATGGTATCAGGCGACCCCTGTGAAAGGGTTGTTCAATCCCCAAAGGGGTAGTGAACCACAGGTTGAGAACCACTGTTCTAGTCTACTGGTGAGGTTTGTTAACTTGTTATTTGCTTCTGTTACCTTGTCCCTTAACTCTTATATTTCCCTTTGGTGCATGGCCTTCATTACCTCTATTATTTCATCCCTTTCCTATATTGCTTCCCTCTTATCCTGTATCCAAGCAACATTGTAAAGATTTATTTCTGTGGCAGATCAATGTCTGCTTCTTCTATAAAGTCATTAGGTTCAGGACCTCCTCCAAGATTGTATTTTATTTTTCCTATTTTTCTGTTGAGGTTGTTTAGGCAGGTTGATATCTGCATGTTGTTTTGGAAGAACTTGACGCCATATTCCCAGGAGTCAAAGAGCCCTGGGCTTTCTCTTTGGGAGGTTGGTAGAAATACTTCTGAAGACTGCCTGTACCCAATGGCACTGGGGGATTGACTACTTCTTTTTCTCACTGGGGTTTCACTCTCTCACTTGCCATACAGGATTTCCCTCTTTTGGAGGGCAAATTAGATCGCCCTCTCAGTGAATGTGGGACACATTGTTGTGGGCTGTGAGGATGCTGCTGTGTAGGCTGACCAACAGAGGAGCTGCAGTGGCTTGGTGGCCAGAGGTGGTGTGAAACCTCGGAAGGTAGGATGAGGCCATTGGCAGGTCCAGGTCAGGCAGGGGGCATTGTGAGTCTGGGTCCGGTGTTGAAGGACCTGTGTACCTGGCTGGCTGCGGGGCCAGCGCTAGCCAATGTGAGGGGTGCAGGGCTGGGCCAAGGCAATGTAAGGAGCCACAGGGCTGGGACTGGCTGGCCAGTGAATCGTGGGTCCAGGCCAGGCCAGCAGGGGGTCTTTGGACTGGGGTTGACCTGTGGGGCTTGGGTCTGCCCCATAGGGGTTCCCCGAAGCCAGGGAGGTCCTGTGGTGGTTCTGTGAGGCAGAAAGAAGCCCTGATGGAAGATCCATGTATGGTAGGTTATCTGATTCCAGCCTAGCATCAGGCAACACTGTCAGATGCTGTGGAGGGATCTGGCTGCAGTGTTAAGTGTTGCAGGCAGACGATGATGGGGCTTCTGTAGGAGTCCATTAGTGGCTGTGGAAGCCACACGCAGATGGCTAGCAGGCTCTGACTGAAGGAGAATGGGTAAGTGTGGCTTCAGGTGTGGGAGCATGGGTGCAGTGGGGCAGTGTAGAGGGGTCATGTCCATGGCAGAAAGTGCCATGGGTGGGCAATGGGCAAGCCCTAGTCTCAACTGCTAGGTCTGCCAGTGGGCAGCAGTAGGGAGCCAGGTATGGTGGAGGCAGCTGTTGGTGGCTGCTGTGTGGGTCCTGGGCATGGGGAGGAAAGCTGTGAGTGGATGGCAATGGTGTGTGTGTGTGGGGAGGGGGGGTCGTCAAGCCACAGCTGCAAGAGCTGTCATTTGGCAGTTGGCAGGCTCCGGGCTCTGTGTCTGGGCCTCAGGTGGATGACTGGTGGGTCCTGGCCACTGCGTTGCTGGTGGTGCCAGTTGGAGTAGCCCTTGAAACAGGCCGCAGGTCTCGGGGGCTCCTCAGTGGGTATGGGAGCAGGGGGGCAGGTCAATTCCCAGGTTAGGAAGAGCTCCGGGATGTCATGGGGGCTAACGGTTAGCCCTAACCCCCCACTTGGCCTCCAAGCCCCAGACTCAACCAATCACCGTAGAGCTCCCAATAGGAGTTGCTTCCCTGGGTGTCATGTATCAGAAGTCCACCTTATTATTATTTTTTAATGTTTTGTATTATTCCATTGTGTTTATGTACCTGCTATTATCAATTCTCTGGGAGCTTTTCTTGAAGGTCTATTTTACCAGTGATGTGTTCCTGGTATTTAAAGCTATTAGTTGTAAACAAATCATTACTGTCTGATATGTATGACAATAGAGTGATACAAATGAAAAGGATCGAAAGTGATCCCTGAAGAGAGGTCAATTTTTCTTGGTATGAGGTGAGAAATGTGAGGGAAACAAGATCTGCCTTAATTTCATTATTCTGGAACATTCTGGTAGCGATATGGGGCACATGCTATACTCTATTGAAACTAGCATGTACCATACATTGCACACATGTGTGATGTTTGTGTGGTTGAATAAACTAACCATGATTACGAAGGATCTACATTTTCCCCAAACACTTGCACTTACTTGATGTACAAATGGCCAGAGGAGGGTCCCATCTGTCATTATCCTGGCATTGGCTCTGGGGACTGCCTTCCAGTGTATACCCGTATTCACACTCCAGAGTGATCTTATCTCCATAACGGTAGACTTTTCCATATTTAAACTCCTTCTGGGCTCCATTCATAAATTGTGGGAGACTACATGTTATCTCTGAAGTTAGAAAAAAATAGAAGAAAAGTGAACTTCTCTTATTATTAGTCAAAACTGTAGTAGTAAAAAGAGATATCCATATAAACCTACTTTGCCCTCAGCAGAGAGAGGGTAGATTTTCTATCAAGAATTATCAATCCTCCCCCAAACACTTTATGATTAAAAAATCTCTGACTTTCACTTTTTATGTAAATTTAAAAAATGAAATGTACTGCACCTTCTTTTTTAGTTAATAACAGCTCAGCAATTGGAAAGCTACATTAGGGTTAGAATCACCATACTGTAGCCCTAGATCCATGTGGGCTTAGCCATAAGGAAACAGAACTATCATATTAACTCTCTCTGGATATACAACAAATATTGATATTTTGCCTCTGGTTTATTTCTACATATGAAATAAATAAGTTATTAAATTATGATTCTGAATTTTAAAAATCTTTTCTGATTAATTTACTTTATCTCACTTAAGTTTTCTTTGCTTTGCATTCTCAGATCATCTGCTCCAGTAAATAGTATAGCTCTAGATAACTCTACGGAACAGTGGGATCAAAATGAGTCAGAATCGACTTGATGGCAATGGGTTTTGGTTGTGTGCTTTTTCTGTTTGCCCAGCCATTAATATCTCCTCCAACTTGAGGTGAAGCCTGATTTTCAATGACAACGCTCTCAAAGTCAGCATAATTTTGTTTCGTTTTCTTTATAAGAATCAATAAGGTAAAGTGGTATTTCTCAAAGTGTGGTCTCTGATCTCCTTACCTCAGAATATTCTGATGTGTTTGTTAAAAATAGACTTCTGTACCCCGCCTTCAAGTGATCATAATGAAAATCCATGCGAATGGAGCTAAATAACCTGTGTTTTCACAAGGTTACTGGCTGATTTTGACAATTCTAAAGATGGAAATAATGCTAAAGACCACCACTCGTCTACTACTTTGTCTTACTGTGTGGACTGGTAGGTTACTGTGATGCTAGAAGCTATGCCACCAATATTTCAGATACCACCAGGGTCACCCAAGATTAACTGGTTTCAGCAGAGCTTCCAGAATAAGAATAGACTAGGAGGAACAAATAAGCTGTCCACATTTCATGAATTAGACATGAAAACCTTATGAATTTCAGTGGAACATTGTTAGATACAGCACCAGAAGACAAGCCCTTCGGGTGGGAAGACACTCAAAATACAACTAAGAGTTGCCTCTTCAAAGAGTCAGCTATAATGACTTGAATGGAGTAAAGCTTTCAGGCCTTTCATTTGATGATGGGGCAAGATTCAAATGGAGAAGAAACAGCTGCAACATCAATTAGCAATTACAATATGGAATGTGTAAAATATGAATATAAGATAATTGGAGGTCATAACAAGTGAAATTGAGTGCTTAAAGATCAATAGCCTAGACATTAGCTGAAATGGATGGACATTGGCTATTTTGAAGCAGACAATCATAAAGTTTAGTATGCCAGGAATGACAAATTTAAGAGGCATGGGATCACATTCATCTTTGAAAAGAACATTTCATAATCTATCTTGAATAACTTGCTACTTGTGGTAGGATCATATCAACATGCCCACAGGAAGTCTAGCGAATACAGCTATTCATCAGATTTATGCACTAAGCACTAAAGCTAGTGATAAAGAAATTGAAGAATTTTACCAACTTCTTCAGTCTGTGATTGTTCAAACGTAATCAAGATGCATTGATAATTATTGGTGATTGGTATGGGGATGTTGGAAATAAAAAAGAAGGAATAGTTGGGAAATATGACCTTGGTGATAGAAATGAAACTGGAGAATGCATGATAGAATTTTCCAAGGCTAAGAACCCCTTCGTCACGATACCTTTTTGCAACAACATAAGCGGTACCTGTACATGTGGACTTTGCCAGATTGAAAGTCTAAGAATCAAACTGATTATGTCTGCGGGAAGTGAAGGGACTCTGGTGGCATAGTTGTTACATATTGGGCTACCAACTGCAAAGTTGACAGTTGGAAACCACCAACCTCTCCTAGAAAGAAAGATGAGGCTTTCTACTCCTATGAAGTCTTGGTAACCCACAGAGGCAGTTCTACCCTGTCCTATGGAGTCACAGTGAGCTGACATCGACTTTATGGCAGTACGTTTGATAATGTTTTTATGGTAGGAAGAGACAATGGAGAAGCTCAAGATCTGTAGCCAAAATGAGGCCAAACACTGACTGGAACACATAATCCATTACTCATAAGTTCGGGCTGAAGTTGAAGAAAATTAAAACAAATCCTTGAGAGCCAGACTATGACCTTGAGTATATCCCACCTAAATTTCAAGAATATCTTGAGAACATATTTGACACATTGAACACTAATGACAGAAGACCGGCTGAGCAGTGGGATGACATCAAGAACATCATTCATGAAGAAAGCAATAGGTCATTTAAAATTCAAGAAAAAAAAGAACTGATCAAAGTGGATGTCAGAAGAGACTCTGAAGCTTGCCTGTGCTTTATCATAGAGTAGCTAAAGCAAATGATGACATGAAAGAGCTGAACACAAAATTTTGGAGCAAAACTTGAGAAGACAAAGTAATGTAGTATCATGAAATGCACAAGACTGCTGCACAAGAATTGGTCAAGGTGTTAAAGAGCAAAGATCTCACTTTGAAGTCTAAGGTGCATGTGGTCTAAGCCATGCTATCTTTAATAACCCCATTTGGATGTGGAAGTTGGACAGCGATTAAGAAATACTGTCGAAGAATGGATGCATTTGAATGATTTTGTTGGTGAAGAATATTGAATGTATCATGGAGTGCCAGAAGAACAAACCAATCTGTCTTAGAATAAATGTAGCCAGAATGCTTCTTAGAAGGGAGGATGGTGAGACTTTGTCTCAAGTCCTTTGGACACGTTGTCAGGAGAGACCAGTCCCTGGAAAAGGACATCATGCTTGGTAAAGTAGACGGTCAATGAAAAGGAGGAAGACCCTCAACAAAGTGGGCTGACACAGTGGCTGCAACAATGGGCCACATATAAGAATCACGAGGAAGACTAGGCCCAGGCAGCGTTTTGTTGCATTGCACATAGCGTTGCTATGAGTTGGAACCAATTCGATGGCACCTGACAACAACAGTAGATAAGATACAATCCCAATTCAAGCCCCCCTGTCCCCACCTCAACCCTGTGTCCTTTGTGAAAATCTGTAAGGACTACCCCTATCACCATAACCTTCTGAGCCGACTTCTCTGACTTGAATTTCACTAGACTGTAGATCCTCTTGGGAGTCAGTTTTGATAGGACTTTTTTTTAAAGGCACCCTAACAAGACTAAGAAATGCGTATTCCTGAGAGAACTCGTCTGCAGCCACCCACTGATCATAGAGATACGTTTAAACATGTTTTATTTGGGATTAAAGTGGCACCTAACATTAACAACAAAAAGATGGTGAACCGCTGCCGTAACAGAAGTCTGAGGAGGGCAGTTAAGACAAAGCAGATTTTGCACAAATGAAAAGAAAATATTCACCAAATGAATTGAAGAGCATCCTTTTGTTGTCAATATGCGATCCTTCACAGACTCTTAAGTTGTACAAAGAATATTTGAAATGGTCCCAGAATCTTCATATGCTTTATGTCACTAAAACAATGCGGGATGCGCTTTCAAGTTTCTGCAGAGTCACAAAAAACTCTGTATTTAGTTTATTCTATATCTGTCAATAAACACTTGGCCATTTCTGTGGTGGGCTCCACTTTCCCTTTCTATAAGATGAGACTAGAAAGATATTGGAAGGACTTTTAGGACAGAAAGGACCCTGTGATTCTGTCATTGGGCAGACCATGAAGCAAACTGCTCCTGAGCATATGAAACACAAACATGTCTGAAATCCCTGCTACCTCACCCCTGCCCGTAGTCTAGTATCTCCAAAAAGAAAAGAATCAAAAGTGGAATCACTTAATTTACAATTTTGAAAAGTCATTCAAAATGAGATTGTACCTTGTCCAGGGCTTAAAAGCAGGGGCAGTGTTGGGGTCCCATCTTTATATCACTACCCAAGTGCTCTATGGGCAAGTCACTAGATCTTTCTAAGCCTTGATTCTAAGCCTTTGTAGAAGAGCAACACTCGTGATTGCATCTACTAGTGTTTGTTTATTTTTTTGCTGAGGAAAGTCCAAATAACTTGCAAAAGGTTCAGTACAGTGTCTAGTCATAGAATATTTTTAACCTACCCTGTTTTTTTGCTTTTTAGAAGGCTGTCAACCAAATATTTTCAAAAGCCCATGTGTTAACTTTGCCAAACACAAAAATAAAGGAAATAAGTCCACGGAAGCAAGTAAATCAACTCTTCACCATTGATCTTAGGAACTCTAGTGAGACTCCACTTCCAGTCAAGGAGCCCTGGTGGCATAGTGGTGATGCGGTGAGCTGTAATCTGCCAGGTCAGCAGTTCGAAACCACCAGCAGCTCCTCAGGAGAAAGCCGGGGCTTTCTATTCCCATGAAGAATTACAGTCTCAGAGACTCACAGAAGCAGTCCTACCCTGTCCTATGATGAGTCTGTATGTGCCTGCATTGCCGTGATGGCTGTGAGCTCCACACCAGTGATGCCAGGGATTCCCCATTGCTCTCCACCTCTGTGCTCGTCCACTTGGTAAGACACGCCCTCGCTCGAGATTTCCTGACACCAAAGTATGCTTCTCGGTCCTCATTTACTTTCTAAGAGCATCTTGTGAGGACTTCATTTGGATCCTTGAAGTCCTTTATGGCTGAAGTGCTTTATTAGTTTAAAGCAAGGGGAACATTTTCAGGGCATGTTTGAAGTGTGTTGTATTACTGGAAATGCCGCCTGATTTCGCTGCGGATTTGGTGGAGTTCAGACTCCGTGAGCAGACTTCCTACCTGCTTTTAGTTCTGCTTTCCGGGTCCTCTATCGATCATGGTTTCACTGTCCTCTTAGAAATGATCTCTTCCTCTTGTTGGCCTCATGCAGCCATGTTTTCATAACATCAACCCAGCAAGATTTTGAAATACCAGCAAGTGCTGTACCTTTGCAATAATGATCAAAGTGGCTCCAGGTTCCCTGGTGTGTACAGAAAATGAAAGGCTTTCCCACCGACTGGTAGCCTGGATCGCAAATGTACTGGACCGTCATCCCAGGAAGATAGGAAGATGTGTATGCTCCAGTGAGATGCCCGTTGCGGATCTTGGGTGGATGTGGGCACGCTAAGGGTAAGTTTGCACACAAACACATAGAAGGAGAGTCAATTAAGCATAGAAATATGAACAAGCTAACCTGTTCTAAAATACATCTGTCCAGTACAGGCACATAAAGACCCGAAGCAAGCAGGTTCTAAGCCACTGCTAGCTGATCAATGGAAAGACTGATTCTTACACACCCAGATCTCTCAGCCTTGAATAACAATCTTCCGGATGGTCTGCCTGCAAGCTGTTATCAGATGGGAGTACCATGGGGATGTGTGAGCTGCCTATTTATTCAATGCTCTGCCCTCACTGGAAGATGGAACCCGTGAGTTCAATCAGCCACACGTAAGCCTGTGACTGCCAGGCACTGTCATTTACAGTAGGCTTTGCTCACAGTGCAGTGGAGGGTTCACAAAAGACACAGTCATGCACAGAACACTTAGCAGTGACAAAAGGGATATCAATGTCTGCATCTGAGTTCCTTTAAATGCTTTTATAGAATTATGAGTTCTGAAGTAAATTGCTATCATCAACACGTAAACCTTTATGCCACCTAGCACAAAGATAACTAGATATAGAGATAGCATAAAGATTATTTCCTTTGGCATTTGTTTTCAGTGCTTTGAAAACATTCACTACCAAATCTGACCCACGCTGATTTCTCCTCTTTTCAACACCCCACTCTCCTTACCCAGCAGGGAGGATCATGTGAATATTACCAGTTGGGACACAGGTTGGCACATCTCAAACCCCTATATTGTTTAGCTGCTGGTCATTCTATCTCAGCTATTCATGACAGAGCCATGTTACCAAACAAAGTCGACTGTCATACAGATAAGGATGCCTTCACCTAGACATTCCAACCCACCTGGGACACAGAGAAATGGGCACTAACCAACAGTCACAGAAAGTTCACAGCGAGGGGCAGGGCCACTCCAAATCCCGTTCCCTCCATCGTCACTTGTGCAGCGGAGGGTGCTCTCCCCAATGAGGCTAAAGGTCATCCCTCCACCTGGGCTGGGGTCACACATGTAAGAGATTTCTTTTCCATAGGGAAAGCTTCCCAGAGGATTTCCTGTGTGGTCCCCATGATTGATAGCAGGAGGTTTGGGACAGAAGATTTCTAAAGAAAAGTTCCATTAGAATGTTAATTGGCATCCTGTGACAGGGTGAGCATACATTTGTATTCTCTTAGAGCAAAACAACTCAGAGATTGTGAAATGATGATCTTAACCATTTGGCAAAATAATTGTGATATTCAACAAACATTTGACCCTCTATTTTATGCTGAATGCCATAAATTCCTGGACTGATCATGGGAATGGTGTGTAAAACATACAAGGTTCTGGCCCTGAAACACCTGATGTTCCAGAGAAATCTGTTTGACATTCATTTCATATCTACTGTTGCCTTCAACAGATGTGTGTGTCTTGCTGACCCCAAAGCATATTTTATCAGCATCAGTGCCAAATATCCAATAATGTCACTGGGATTCATTAATAACTGTACCGGATTAAAATGCTCCAGAGTGTCGTAGGGTTTTTGTTTTGTTTAAAAAAAATTTTTTTTTAGATTTGATTTTCTTTCTTCCAAGTATTCAACTGTCGCTTCTCCCTGGTGATCTTTGGGAGCATTCTTGCCTTGTGTGATGCTCATCTGATGTGGACTTGGGCAAAGATACCTAAACTTATCAGCAGTGTGCACATTGTGGAGAAAGGGCCTTTGAATGTTGGACTCTGAGTCCACTCCTACGTATCTACTTGTTCGGGTCTACCCCAAGTTCTCTTCTACACATGCGTTGTGAGTTTTAGTAGCCCCAGAAGCGTCTGCTGTGCATATAAGTTTAACCTTTCATCAGCAGATGCCACATAAGATATCCAAAAGGATTTATAACAAACTATTTCCATACCATGCCGATAACATAGCTTTTATTTTCTCAATAATACATACCATGATTTAACTTACCATTTCATATGTTCTAATGTCTTGTGTGCTTACTTAGCTCCCCGTTTATTGGCTGCCTCCTGTACTAGAACCTAAACCCTATGAGGGCAGCCCTTCTCCTTTTTCACTCTCTCCAGCTCCTGGCCCTGGCAGGGGCTCCCGAAACAAATACTTGGGACTACCTAATGGGCTGGACAAACAACGTAAATGTGTACAAAGATAAAAGCGCATACACACTTAGAGAGACTACCCTCAAGACAACATTTTTTTAAAACGCGAATAAGCAAAATTATGACACACCTTCTTGTTATCTAGTTTCTCCCCACACATCCCATTCAAAAGTCAGCAGCCATTAAACTGGCGACTTATGAATTAGTAGCATAAAAAAATAATGTACCAGCCCTACAAGACGTTCCTTGAAATTGTTTCAATTATTTCCATCAGTTAAGTAAACAGAGATGGATGAGGCCAACCCACTAGAGAAAGAAAGAAAAGGAAACGAATGTTCAGCCTCCACACCTTTCCTTCTACTCACGTTCGCACACAGGCACACTGGTGTTCCAAACACCCTTCACTCCACTCAAGACACAGTGACTGACAGCACTGCCTTCTAGCCGGAACCTGAAAGGTGGGGGGAGTAATGAATCAGTGAGCAATTCTCCACCCCCACCCCCACCCTTCATTTCTTTATTGATAGATGATCTGCTTTCTCACTTTGGCTTAAATATCATTCAGTTCTTTGGCTCAGGCTGAGCTAAAAGTCTTGGTTCATCAGGGACCTGAATTCAGAAGCTACTAGAAGCTCAGAGGCCACCGTCTTCTAAGCACTTACAACATCCTGTGCCTAGCAAATGCTTAATAACCGTAGCCATCAGAGTCCAGAATCGCCTACGGACAGCACTGAACACAGCCACACATTGTCTTTGTGAACTAGACCCAGACTCTTTGAAGGTCATTTCTCACTGATGGCCCTTGGACATCCCACTTCTTATTAGTAGGTCATGAACAAGAATAGGTTTCAATTTAGAGACTGGGGTGGAAAAAGCATTGTTCTTCTTGCCTCAACTAATGGGGCAGAAGGAGGCTCACGGAAGCACATGAGGCCAGAAATTCTAGTTAAAAAAAAAGGGTGAAGGGAGGAGCTTCATTGCAAAAAGTCACCCTGAAATTCCCCGCTTATTATTGGGTCCTGTTTTTCTGAAATCTGCTGATCATTCCTGGATGGATGGCTTGTTGTAAATGTCATCACACCCTCGGAATGTGGGAGGAAGCTTCAGAAAGTTCATGGAAAATGTAATTAAAAGATAATAGATTCTTCCCATGAACTTTATGAAATCCTGTCGTATTAAAAATAACTGCTTTGCGGCCTCATCTTGTTACTTCCTACAGAGTGAGAGTACACATTGCTAGATCCACCTAATCAGCTACGAATACTCTCTCAAACAATAACACCAGCCATTATAATCCCAGTATCAATGCCCCATTGCTAAAGTGAAAATATATGAGGGGGCTTCAAAAAGTTTATGGGAAAATCCCATGAACTTTTTGATGTCTTCTTGTTTTATTAGATTTACCTCCCGCCCCACCCCCACCATATGTGCACCCATCCTAATACTATTATAAATTCCACTATCAGTTGATTTCAGCTTTCAGAATTAACTAGATGGCAGCAGGTTTGATTCTATGTTAAGTTTCCTGAAACAACCCTAGCATGAACCATCGCATTACAAATAATTTTTGTTTCATGTACATCAACCATTTTTTTTTCCCTAGCCACCTTTCCATAAAATTACATTGCTTTCTGCCTCTAACAAACTATTTGCCTATTCAAGTTCCAACCAGACATTCAAAGTTTAGGGCTTTTATTTATGCATTTCTGTGACACTGATGAATATGTGTCATTTTCTCTTTACTTCCTGATAGTGCTGCTGCTGCAACCTTCACCCTGATTTCCAGACTTCTTCCAGAAGTTACTCTCCGTGCTTATCTCCTTCCCATTAGCCCATGCTCCCCGAATGAATTTACCCCAAACCCTAGAGTTTCCATCCACCACTCGGTCCTGAGCTTCCAGTCTAGATCACACTCACCCGTCATCACAGATGAAGGACACTTGTGCACCAAGCTGGAGACTAGGGGGAGAGAGGACACGGCCATTGGGGAGTTGATCCCGGAAGTCATCACATGATTTCACTACAGAAAAAAACAAGCTGGAATATGGCTGCCACATAAGCAATAAAGAGCTTGCTCTGCAAATGAGGTGGGCCTTTGGGCACCTTCACATCTGGGCGCTGCAGGGCTCCAGTCTCCCCGGGGTGCACAGCGCAGGGAAGCGGTCCCTCTGAGATCATAGCCTGGCTCGCAGCTGTAGAAAACATTCTCCTCCGGGAAAAAGTTGTCCTTGTCATTTGGGAAATATTGACCATGCAGGATGTCTGGAGGCAGCTGACACACTGTGGAAAGAACAGGGTCAAATTACCCATTAGTTGTAGTGGCCTAGTGGGTTATGTGCTAGGCTGCTAAATGCAAGGTCAGGGGTTCAAAACCACTAGCCGCTCTGTGGGAGAAAGATAGGGCTTTCTGCTCGTATTAAGATTTACAGTCTGGGAAAGCCACTGCCATCAAGGAGATTCTGACGCATATTGACCCTTCATGGAGGTCAGTTTGGAGGCTTTATATGGGAGTAGCCAGTCTCATCTTTCTCCTGGAGAGCAGCTGGTGGGTGTGAATGACTGAGTTTGCAGGTAGCAATCCACTGTCTACCCAACAGCACCAAGGCTCCTGAAGGCCTTTCTAATGTGATGATAAGATGATTTTAGCACCCATGATTCACTTTTCCTGCATATTTCTTCCAGTGATCAATTATCATCATCATTATACATTATTATTCATTTTTTACAATGAATGGGGGTAATAATCATTCCTACCTTATGTATTTGTTAAAAGCAGAAAATTAAACAATTCATAAAAAGATATCACCGATGAAACACAGAGTAAACATGGCTTTTCGGACTATTACAAGAGGGCTTCACAAGTTCAGTGGAAAATTCCATGATCACTCAGTTCCATTTCCCACAAACTTTTGACGCCTCCTCTTATTATTACAGGAGCAGATAGTGGAGCTGGGATTATGTCTAGAACAGTTATATTGATTTCATTGTGTACATGCATGAGCACACACACATACATTTCTTCCTTAATTTCAACAAATCCTGCCCCTCAGTACTGTCCCCGCCCCCATGAATCAGGGTCTCACATGATCCAGCTCACCCCTGGAGCAGCTTGGCAAGTCAGGCACCCATCTGTTGTTGGCCTGGCACTGTGCACTGCTGGGCCCCTTCATGACAAAGCCAGGCTGACATCGAAAGCTCACAACCTCATTTAAGGGGAAAAAAGTCCTATTTCTTGACTCATAGATTCCATTTTCAACTTCTGGAGTTGTGCATCTTTTAGAAGAAATACATTGAGGAGGGGGGCCGCTCCAAACACCGACTTGATCATCTTTGCTTGTACAGTTTATCGATGCTTTTCCTACCAGGTCAAACAGCTTCTCTCCGGATTGCGCAAGACGACAATAATAAGTCACCACTGTGCCATACGAAAAGAGTTTTCTGTTGCTGCTATGGAAGTATCCATTGTCTATCCGTGGGGGTGATTCACAAGATATGCCTGGGAAAAGGGAATGTGAATTAAACAAGAGTTCACAGTT